AGGGACGGTGTTCTCGACTAATAATAATACTTCGTACAACGGAACAATAATACAGGATCCAGCAAGGCTTGGAACGAGTCGGGGTCGGCGAACAGACCTACCAGCTAGCTTCTAGGCATAGCAAGACGGGGCACCTGTGGATTCTGAATGGCATCGAGGATATAGCCAACGGCGAAAAGACCCGTATCGCGACAGACCACATACGGGGTATAAACGTGTGGACAGGCAGCAGTTGCAAGGGCAAAAAGAAGGTGGAAAGGGAGGAAGGTCCGAAAGCTCCCTCCCCATCATCCCAGTCTCAAGTTTCAGGGGCTCGTGAGACATTTACTCAGTACTTACAGGATTAGCCGAGCCCTGGGAGTTTCTAGTGGAGCAAACGAAGCACTGTGCAAAGTACTGCTCCGCCCACCAATTACCACAGCACCCCGTAGACGCTGTCCAGGAGGAATGCTACAGAGGGGTTCTTGGCTTGGTACATCGAACCTTGAAGGTTTAACGCAATCGAATTCGATGGGTAGGCACAAGAGTAGGCATGACTTACTCCGTCCGGTGTGCGAATTGAAGCCGGGGACGGGTCCTGCATCTTCACGATGCTGGATGTTTCCGGACACTCCTGGCTACGCCTCCACGTCACATGGTCACATCGGGACTCAACTAAATTTTAAGGTTTAGTCCTTCGTGAAGCCAAGACTTCTATGAGATGCGGAGTAACAGTGTCCTAGGTGGTCGCCGGCATGACTTCACGCCTCGCCGCTTCCAAGGCAGCCGCTTCTTGGACCGCTCCCTAAGCATGGCCTGCACAATCAATCGAGGCTAGGATAGGCTTTGAATAGGCATCCTTAATGCTGCTAACTGCGGAAACTAAAAGGATCAGCGACATCTATTAATGCTCTGCGGAGACCAAGATCTCTTGCGAATGCTCGGGGTGTTTGTGCGTGTTGTTGAAACTTGAACGGCGACCACTACTTCCAACATCTTTCGCCGGCCGATTCCATACTCCCCTTTAGCCCAGGAACCTGGAACCTCTCGAATCAATCACGTTTTACCCTGGGCAGTGTCCCAGCCCCCTCGCGTGGCGCAGACTCCGGACTCCATATGTTTCCCAATCGCGGCCGGGGGAGAATTATTCCGCCCTGCTACACCCCTCATCTGCCAAGGACGAAGTACTCGCTGTGTTGCTGTAGGTACCTAGGTACTCTGTAAGCATGAAATAGCGTTGTTGCGAATCAGGAGTGGAGCGTGCCTCCCTGGCTCTTGCTACTCGATTACCTGCTGCCATTATTGCATGCCCAACACGGCGAACTTGTCCGTGCACAATTGGCGCAATTAGCTCTCACTGGCTCCGGGTAGAGCTCGATCATACTTGAGTACGGCTGCAATTATGGACATGTTGCCATGCTGGTACTGTCCTACGTATGGAAGTGGGGAATCTGTGCCATCTGAGCGTGAGCTCTACGAAAGGAAAACCAGCCGGCTTACTATGATTTAACCCTTTACGGAAATTGTATCAATCTGAGTTAAATGCCTTTACTCCGTAGACGGCCCCGCGCATGGGCCACTTCGTCCAGCCAAAGACCCTTATAATCGAATCTAAAATAGACCTAGAGGCCCCCAAATGTGTCCCGCCATGCCAGTGTATAGGATCCATGAGATTCCCAGAGAGGGTGGCACCATATGGATGGACATCTTGAATCTTGTAGTTTCAACTCGAAATTACAAAGTTCGAAATTTTAATAATATCACTTGATCAAGTTCTTCGAACCAGGCCTAAGATCCCAGGTGAGCATCACAGAGTTATAATGCTCGGATTAACCTTATTTGATATTTAGTACCAAACTTGTCGATTCCTCTCAAGACAAGCAAGCGAGATATAGAATAACCTAATGTTGGCAACATACATCTATTATGAGCAAGTGTTCTCCTACTGTATCTATGGAACCCATATATAGATTTCCATAATGCCCGTGTTAGTAGCATATGAGGAATGACTATCTGCGTCCCAATCAAAAAAATTGATATGACATGTGTAGTGCCTTCGCCGCCGCTAGCTACTATTTTTAGACTCCGTAAAGTATGGTAGAAGTCTACGAGGGCGCTGGAATAGGGGGGTGTTTATAATTATATATTCATAACTGGTATTCTCTAAACAGTACTCCTAGCTCTAGGCTAGACGTGATACAAGCAAACTATTGGTATCTAGCAGCAGTGCCTACCTCCCCAAACAGCCGTGTACAACTATAAGAGCCACTATCATTACTTTATTACAAGTGTTGGCCTATATATAATAACAAACGGGCTGTTGTATTGTTGCTCCCAGGCAAGTTCATAGAACCACCAATAGACCCAAGCATCCCCCGAACCAAGTCCAGCCCCTGTTACTTTGTACTCTGTAAAGTTCAAGAAAGGCCAGTTTCCTGCTGGCCACCAGTAGATGGAATTAGTCGGATCCGTCTAGTGTATTTATATTGGGTTTAATTGCTCCATTTGAAGACGACCGTGGACGCAAAACTGCATATTCGCTGGAAAGGCTTCGGCATGGCACTGTTTGTTATACTCCAAACTATCATCCTTTTGCTATTTTATACCTTGCAATTGCCACTTGACAATTAATGGTTAATAAAATTTTAATTTACCCAAAGATGATATCGAAATAGAGCCCTGATAGTATTTAATCGCGGCTTTAAACCAGCCGGTTCGAGTACTAGGTAACAAGCAGGTACTTTGAATAACTAGGTGATCTTCCTGACCGGTTTACGGATACACTGTTCGAATAGAGCACTCGATTTCTGCGGATATAAGCCCACCTCGAACAAAAATCAATGCTAGTTGGGTGGATTTTAAGGTTTTCAGTCTGTTGTGCAGAATTTGGGCATTGAAATTGCAGGATAGTGCCAGAGGGTTCTGAGGAGCCTGGAAAATGTAGAGAAATATCGGGGCCGTAAAGTTAGTTTCAGGCCGAGGGGAAGTACACGATACTTTGTAGTGTCAAGGTGCCATAAGTATAATATGTCAATAATATAAATGTCCTTGGGCTTTGTTTAGGGGCCTTTTTTCCATTGATGGCACTTATGCCTTACTACAACAGGAAACCGTAGACAGAATCAACTGCTTTGAATCACCTCGCGCCACACGCTTTATACAATGGAAATAAAGAGGCATCTTGGTACTTGCGAAACTGCTAACTAAAGATATTATTCCGCAAAGTGTTTAAAATTTTAAAGCTAGAGTTTGGCTTAATTGAATATAGAAGTAGTTTTCCGACCGGTAAAACCAAAGCATATTAATGAATTACCCCCAATATGCTCCCGAAACCTATGGTATAGTATGTAGAGCTAAGTATGAAAGATGAGCTGCTAATCAACATGTTGCTACTCTGGTGACATAGTACGGTGCACAGTAGATAATCAAAAATAAACTAATTCTGAAGACCTAGGGAGGCAAGTTGAACCTACGGTTAGTTTGCTGACGAAATAGAAAGGTCGGTTGATTATTGACACACTAGTCTCCGCAGGAAATAAGCATATTGAGACATCAGGTATGAGTTACATCTGGCGAAACACTATGTAAATACAAGAGATGATAGCGTGGTAGCCAAAATACATACTATTTACGCCCTAAAAGTTCATTTCCTACTCATGTGGACAATGGAAGCTAAGTGGGTAGAAGCTAGTGATATGAAAACACTCGCTCGGCTGTCTTTGAAGTTGTGGAAATGAAGTGATTTGATAGCATAGGATAGTCGAATGGACCACGTAAAGTAAATAAGTATGTAGAGGAAAATATCCGTAGACTATGCTATCGCGGGTTTGAGTAATAGCTGACGTGGAAATTTGTTACCAGCGTAGCTAACTTGCAAATAATACACCATACGCCCGATATACAACCGAGTAAGTGTCTGCTCTTTCGCATCATATCTCTTCTAAGGCATCAAGGATGGAAAGCACATGTGAAATAGTTGGCCCAAAGGTGAACTGGGAAGCGGTCATTATAGAAGTTGTCGCAGTTATAGTATCGGCCCCACTCATCCTACATGTTAACTACTTGGGGTACCACCTCTTGCCTAGGATACAATTTGCTGGACGACGCGGAATTGCACTCCAGCAACTCGGTACGTCCGGTGCTCCTCAGCCAGCCGCTCAGCATGCCCCTGAGCCAACAATTCAAGCAAACCCTCAAGTAGTCCGTTAGCTAGGCCGTGCATAAATTTCCTGGGTAGCTAGCTTTTCAAGTAGCCCCCTATAGGGACCTAAGAGGCCCAAGATTTGTTGCTTACTTTGAACTTGAGGGTGAGAGGTGTTGTCATACGGAAGCGATTGGTAAGCTAGACTGCATTCACCGAACAAAGGATTTAATGGAATAGAAAGTAACGCTGACCGCAAAGTGCTAGCTTGCTCAAAGAGGTTATTCAGACATCGCCCTGCTGTATCTCAATCACAACTGGCAGATTGAGTTTGCCGCAATCATGAAACTAATACACAGTATCTTCGCTAACACAAAAAGCCTGGCTTTTTTTACTACTCCACTCTTCAAAGCATTCAAAAATGAAGAGCTTTTATGCCATATGGACTGTCTTGGGGGTGTTTACACTTTTGGTTCTGGTGGTCGGATATATCATCAAGAAAATATTCCAGCACCTGCCAGAGGTTGAACTTGCTGCACACCCAGGCTCGCAACCAATTCCTCAGGCAGACTTGAACCCATGCACACAGTGGCCCACCTAACAAGACAAAGGGAGCCGTGAAAGGTCGCGGTGTTTTCTTAATAGTACGTTGGGCTGGTGGGGGGACTCGATTGTCTGACATTAATAGCCAGAGAATTCAATACTGCTTAACTCAGCACCTGTCATGGTGCCAACCTGTCCTTGTTGGAGACCGAGCGAGCCGTCTGAGATTTGGGGGCGATCTGTAAGCCGTCGAGGGATTGGAATTGCCTTTCGACAGCAAGCTAGTCGCTCCAATTTTCACTCTAAGGTTTGAATAGTCTCAGCATATGAGCCTGATTCATCCGACATTGCCATCCTCTTCGACTTCAAGCATAAACCCTGGACTCCAGTACTCCCATTCTTTGCACTGCTTATCCACCCAGAGCATACTCTCGGAAACGAGATCATCAATAGCTGTCTTTGCTCTCGCTCTCGGCCATTTCAGATTCAATGTAAGCATTGACAAGCTGACGTAGCCGAGCAATTGGGCTGCCTCTAGTACGGCACTCTGATCGGTGTTGAGTTCCTTGGGAATGGAGCGGATGTAAAGCTTATGGCCAACCGTGAGAGTGGAATATGAGGATCCAAGTGGCTTGAGAGTATTCACAGCACGCAGGATATCATCACTAGATAACATTAGCATCAATCATTGACTTCGAAGTCGGAATATGTGTACTCTGTGATTTCCGATGCACCTTCCATTCGCGTACTCATAATCCGGTCTCCGACCTCCTTGACGCCAATAAGTCCGCCATTCTCCTCCCTCGTAGCACCGCAGACTTCCACAACTCTCACCGCAAGCTCGAAATAGAAGTCATTCACACTCCCGCCAAGCATTTGAGCCCAAAAGCTGCCTCCACCATCCTTGCCATCAGCACCACTGCTACTTGCAAGAGGATCTACACCAATAGCTGCACACATGCGAGCAAATTCAGCTCGAAAACTGGGGTTGGACCGTATATCTTTGGCGTGTGTCTGAGCAAACTGCTGGAGGAGGGACCGAAAGACGGAGAGTTGTGTAGCGAGAGAACTGGAGTGCGAGCTTCTGAGATTATTGCCATGAGAAGCATACTGGGCTGATGTTATCCGCGATCGATCGAAGGCTGCGAGACCTACTCCTTTTCGCGACATTTTTCTCGGTTTGGTTATTGTGTCGGATTTTGCATATACTGGCAGATGGAAAGTACATACCTGTAGCTCGATGGTGGTATCTCGAAGCACGTGAGGGATAGGGGTGACATGGACATGGCCAGGCTAGCCCATATCGGGGCTAGTGTTTTCTGCAAGCGAATTTGACCGCACATTTCGAGGATTTCGCGAAAGACCTCAGAGAAGAAGACCCGATCCCATTTAACGACAAAACACCGCCCAAAGGTATAGTGACCCAAGTGAATCGTCAAACGCAATAGAAACTGACCTGCCGAGAAACCCAGCACCCAAGATGGCGTCCACACAATCTGTCCAGTGCTTCGGAAAGAAGAAGACCGCGACCGCAGTCGCTCACTGCAAGGTGCGTCCGATGACAGAGCAGGACAGGACAATCCCACGATGAAATACTAACATAATGGAAAAGGCCGGTAAAGGGCTCGTCAAGGTCAATGGAAAGCCTCTCAACCTCGTCCAACCCGAGATCCTACGATTCAAGGTCTACGAACCCCTCCTAGTTGTTGGCCTCGACAAGTTCGCCAATGTCGATATCCGCGTCCGGGTCACCGGTGGTGGACACACATCTCAGATCTATGCCATCCGTCAAGCCATCTCGAAGTCGATTGTTGCCTACTACCAAAAATTCGTCGATGAGCACTCCAAGAACACACTGAAGCAGGCACTTGTCCAGTACGACCGAACACTGTTGGTTGCGGATAATAGACGGTGTGAGCCAAAGAAGTTTGGAGGTACGTTTTGCTACCCTGTTGCTGTTTGCAATGATACTGATATGTGTAACAGGTCCCGGAGCCAGAGCCAGATACCAGAAGTCGTACCGTTAAGGATGGTGGATTGTGCTGGGTTGCGCTTGGGAGAGTGGTTTCTGCTGCATTTGCAATGGACGGGATATGCTATTTGCTGCTTGTAGGGTTTCTAAGCAGATAAAATGCAAAATTCTTTCGGCACACATAAATGGAGTTCACAATTCAAGATGGATGATGGACCTCAGTTCTACGGAGCCCTGATGTGATACAAGAGGCTGTCTGCAGCGAGCGCTTTTGGTGCCATTGGAATTTGGATAGCAACCTGAGGATTGGAAGAGTTTGGAGTCTGGCTCTTGCAGAGAGGTAACAATCCGTGAATTCATTGATATTTCTTTCTCGAGCCCAAACACTAATACGCCTTATGATACATCCTTTTTAACCAGGACGCCACCCCAGCCCTCTAGTCTACCTAGCAGTATTTTCCAGGATAGTTTTCATCATCTCATTGCCCACCTTCGTTGCATCTGCAAATCTAGGCTCAAAGAACTTCTGCGTGCTCTGAAAGCGATCCTTCCAGGACTCAAAATCCCCAAATGTAACACAATCAGACCAGCCTCTAGCAGCGAACGTAAACTCTAAATCATCTGACCGGAAAGTGTCGTCTTCAAGTGCAACGCGAATGACTTCATCCAGCAGGGTTGGTTTACGGAACAAGTATTCTGTCACACCAAGCCAGAGGCGGAATAATGGCGTGGAGCATATCATGTGGTCGTAAGGGACGATACCCAACTGCGACCAACAATCCACCATTGCCAGTAGACTCAAATGGTTATTCGGTACAGGCTTCTCGGGCTTTTTGCCCAGCGAAAAGCGATCCAGAACCTCGTCCTTGAGAAGCAGCTCGCCTTCCCATTTTTGGTCGCCGAAGACCGCAGCACCTGCTTTCTTGATCCTCCTCTCGAGCTCCTTACGATGCCCGCCAAGCATCAGCTTGTATAAGTCTGTAACAGACTGTGCATATTGACGAATCTGTTTTTTGGCATAAGGATTGAGGATGGCAAGCCCTGCGTACACGTGCCATTTCTGGGAATAGATTCTCAATGTTAGGTTTATCTTCACGTTTTCAATGCCGCCAACATAGCGGTCAATTTCCCAAGGAAATTGAGAGTTGGCATGCCAGGCTTTCCCCATACTGAGGAAGGCGGCGTGGGTCACAGCCTGCGTGTCTGCTGTAATCTTGTCATGTTGTGCGGCCGAGAGGTGGACGTGAGTTGAGCCCAGGCAGGAAAGAGCGTATTCAACCTTGTCGAAGTTCTCTTGGGAAGCTCGGTGTTTAATCATGACCTAAGAGGGCCGTTGTCAGCTTGACTTTGTCTCCTAAAACACATATATATCTCACCAATGGCTGGCCACGAGGATCAACGCTTGGGCCATGAAGGGAGTGGCAAGAAACAATGTCGACATCCTCAGGGAGATGTTTTTCGAAGGCCGAAATCTCTGGAGCCTTGCACGAAGTTTGGCCACCAACTATAGCATGTTGTTTTGTAGCTGCCAGAAGGTCAGAAGGAATTTTAGAAGGATGGCTCTGGCCTCAAATCAATTCATACATGGTCCGTAGAGTGCAACAACTTTATCAATCGACGCCGCCTCCACGCTATAGATGATGTAGTCGCTTGCCCGGGAAACAAGATGTCCATTTGGGAATATTTTTATTTGCTTCTATGAATTTCTCAGCACTTGGTGCAAGACTATGCTATGTACAGGTGTTTACTCTATTTGCAAATTCCTCACACAGGCTCTGGTATTTCTCCTCTGTGTCACAAGCATTGACCCTGAACGAAACGAATCAGTCACTGTTGGTAGATATCTCGAATGACCTGAAGAATTCCCTGTTAGCATATAATACTCGAAGAGAGTGATAAGAAGCCCGTGAGGAGTGGGTATGTATGTCAGACAAAATAAAATAAGGTAGCTGAGATTTTTCATCATAGAAAGCCAGCCGCCGAACTTGGTACAATAACAGTAGACAAGCCAGCTGAAGGCGATACTCGAGCCAAATGCACTCAAGTCATCATGTAGGGGAGAAGGGAAGGTTAGAGGAAATATTGCTTACCATGAGGGAGTTTGTGCGCAGCAGCCAAGGTTCAAACGGGCCACTTTACCTCCATCCAGCATCGCTGAGCCTCCGAGCATACATCTTCCCCATATCGCCCATCCCAATGATGCCAATGGCGAATCCATTCATGGTCTTAGCAAGGTCTTTGGGAGCCATCATTGCTTCCGATCAGTCAAGAAGACCTTGGAATTCAACGACTACAACGTCAACCTAAACCTCTGAAGGCTCTTCATGAGAATGAAGAACGAGATTTCATCAGTGCGACATGTTCTTGGAGAAAATTGGGATTGAGAACGAAGAGGAAAGAAGTTTCCAGGTCGACAAAAATTTCCTTTTCAAGCGAACAAAGGTCTCAGATGGCGCTAGTGTTTTTCTGCGCTTATCCCAATTCGGACTTAGCTCACCCACACACGAATTTCACCAATAATTCTCAACTTTCCAAGACGAGACGACGAAGTTCGACATTCCCACAGAACCAACAGAAAATCGCCCAAAATGGCCCCAAAGAAGACCACACGTCCCGCTCAGGAGAACATCTCCCTTGGACCTCAAGTCCGAGAGGGTTAGTGCATCCTATTCCCAAAACCAAATCCTAGGTTAGAGACTGACCCCGCCAGGTGAACTTGTCTTTGGTGTCGCGCGTATCTTCGCATCATTCAATGATACCTTCGTCCATGTCACCGATCTCAGGTCCGTACACCCTTGAAGAATCTTGGAGGAATTTTGGAAATATATGAAATACAAGTGGAATGGTTCATGGGCTGACTTTCTGGGTGATTCCAGTGGCCGCGAAACCATCACTCGTGTCACCGGCGGCATGAAGGTCAAGGCAGACCGTGATGAGTCCTCCCCATACGCTGCTATGTTGGCCGCCCAAGATGTCGCTGTTCGATGCAAGGAATTGGGCATCAATGCTCTCCACATCAAGATTCGCGCCACTGGAGGTAAGCTTCCCAAGGAATTCTTTTTATAGCCGCGGGATGTTAATGAATTGCCTACAGGAAATGGCACCAAGACCCCAGGCCCAGGTGCTCAATCCGCTCTTCGTGCCCTTGCTCGTTCCGGAATGAAGATTGGTAGGATTGAGGATGTTACACCTACCCCATCCGATTCCACCCGCCGGAAGGGAGGCCGCCGTGGTCGTCGTCTCTAGATTGCTGGTTTTATGGAGGCTTGCTTGGCTATCTGGCTGGGTTTTACTGTGGGAATCGAAACGACGCGGAGGACGGCATTAATCGCCCGGGCTCCAAGCTTACTCACATTATGGCTTCTACTGCAGCAGTAGCAATTGATATATCTGCCAACATTTTTTTGATTCTGGTGCCATGAGTTTCTACATGTACAAACATTATCTCAAGGGCCCCTGGTACTGTCTGTGTGCGCTCGTCCATGCTCAGACGGTCGGCCTACAAGAGAAGCCAACCCTGATATGACTTGCTTCCGCCAACGCCCTGCGAATATGAACGCCCCTCGTGAATTCCAGGCCATGTAGACGCTAGACCATGTAGATGATCCATCATTGCTGACCATAGCCTTGCCATCGTGATGTCGTGCTTCATTATGCTCATTATGATGTTCGTGACTACTGGGATGAACTTGGGTCGAAAGAGAGTCGAAAGAAAGTCGAATGAAAATCGAAAGAAAGCTGAAAGTAAGTCGGGGGAAAGTCGAAAGAGTAAGAGCGTCTAATGACTGATTGTTGCACTTGCTGAGACTTTAAAGTTGACAAACTTGGGTAGAAGATTAAAGGACTACCTTCAACGTCTTATTAGAACCAGCGCGTCTCTTGCCTTTTTTACCTAATCGCAACCCAGCAGATTAGACGACAAAATCAGAAATTAATAAGATCTTTTTCGCGACCGTCCTCATCCAACTCCACTACCACCGGCGCGTACTCACCTCTCTCGCCATCCAGGTACTCCGACAGTTCGGTCTCAACCCATTGTCCGTCTTCGGTTTGATAACCTGAGGACCAAACATAATTCCCCCGAAGATCCCAACCCCACTTCCAAAGCCACGATTCAAGTTCCTCAAAGGAACTTCCAACTGCAGTCTGATCCATAGTAAGATTGGTGCCCCTCTCCAGTAACATCTCATTAAGGCGGGATTTGAATGTGGTCAAGATCTTCTTCAGCTCTTGAGGTAGATTGGGGTCGTGGTCGAGGATGCTTCCTTCAAGGCATTCGTCGTCGTAGATGAACTGGGCATGAATGGCTTCGATGAATTTCTTGAAGAATGCAGGCGCTTGCAGAACGAGGTTGAAGGCGCGGAAAACCAGCTTTACCACATGAGCCCATTGTTCCATGCATGCTACATTGCCCAGTAACATTCCCGTCGCGTAGCAGAATTGTACCTCTCCAGTGACCTCGTTGTGGTCGTCATGGTTACAGTTAAAACAAATGGTCCTCAAGATGTGGTTGGTCGAGTCCAATGCCTCTTCAGTGCGAACTCGGCCAACCGATTCCCCGGAGAATGTTTGCTTGTACTGAGGAAATGTGAAATTAAGTACCTCATACTGGTAGTCGTGAATGGAATAGCTCGCGCCGTTGCTCAATGGAGTCTTATGCATATGATCGTGGGCCGAAGAGACCTGCCATTCGTTCCATTCCTTACAGCCGGTGATGCGGTTGAGCAACGCCCCTGTGATGGAAGATGTCAAGCGATACCAGAGGTTGGGGTCTCGGATGGTGGCATTTGGTGTCGTTGAGCGTTTCCTAGTGGTGGTAGTCGTAGTTGGGGCAGGGCCAGGTAGCAGGTAGGACCGCAGCCTATCAAAGATCTCCGGCAAGCCTTCCTTTTGAATGCGTCGCTCAGCCTTGCTGATCTCGTCGGCCAGAATCCCATCCTCCTTGTCCCATCGCCGGACGTGGATCTCTCCAAAATCATCTGAGCCACGCCTGGCAGTGACCAACCAGAAGCCATTTCGAAGGGAAGTTGTGTTCGACCCGCCCCATACGAAATGAACACCTGCAGGAATATCTTTGATGCCATCAAAACGTTCCTTGGCATTGACAGTAAGGGCCACAGTATCATAGCCAATGAGAGAACCACCGGGGACGTCGCGGACAATGACTACATCGCCACCAGACTTCAAGCATTCATGATATGGGCCATCCTTTGGGTGGCGGTTGTGGGAAGGCGAATGAACGCGAAGTGTTCCTAACGGATAGCTGCCCACCGCATGCACGCTTTGCACAGATTTAATGGAGCTGATGGAATGCTCGGATGATGACTTCGTCAAGGAGCGTTTTTTAACAGCTTGGATGTTGTTGTTGGAGATAGAGTCAGCACGTGACTGTCCATGCGACTCCCCTTCACTTTCACCCTGGCGATTATCAGCGAGCACACAGGCGATCGCTGGCTGGTTGGCGAAATCAAGACTCTCATTGGACTTGATTGAGAGCTGTCGGCTGAGCGCCGAAGCCTGATCCTTTGTAGTAGAAGGATGTCTTTGAATGGCGATCTGGTTTTGCATAAAGGTCGGGTTGTGGTTACCGAGCTCACTGTCGCTCTGTGACGCGCCTCCAGCCTGCGCAAGGGGGGTGACCGTGAAGCCTTCGTCGGTGCTAATGGGACTGCAGGAGCCGCGAGGGCCAGTGGGGTTATTGTCTGCAGGGTGTGCCATGATGAGCGAGCTGCAAGATACAGCAAGTGCTTGGTGTTGTGTTGTGTGGTGAGCTTGGTGTGCTCTTGGGAGCTTGAGAACTTGTATTTACTCCATCTCCTTGTTTTTCAGATTCGAAGTTGATGGCGTTGTTGACCTCGTTTACTAGTGTCGGAGTCACGTTTTTCCGATGCCTGATTTCCAGCAGCCCTGAGGGGATTCTACGGGCGCTGGACACTCTCGAACAAGATGCTCAACGGTAGTTCACTGGAGACTCTGGCTGTGTGAGAAACTGCCTCTGCTGGAAGAACTGCCGTAACGAAATGTATGTTAAAGGGAAGTACCGTACATAGGGCTTTAGACTGTGCAATTTGGCAGCATCCTATCCATAGCATACGGGCACGAACAAGACAGGATATGGCGGTGGTGTTTCGCCAGGACTGAAGCTTGTATTTTATATTGAGCAGCCATACTTGCAACAGGTTCTCGGTCGCGCTTACTCATGAAGTGCCACTGGAGCCACAGGCAGGGCCCGCTGGTTGGACAGCACGGGTTTACCCCACAGTGGGCTGGACGTCCGTGCTTCTTCTCCCTTGTTTGAATTGAAGATCATCTCTCCTCCGTCCTGTGGCTTTAGAATCCATACGTCCTTTTTACCTTGTCCAGCTTATTTGTTTGTCCGTCGGGCGGACAACCGCAGCGGCACTCTCATTATTATCGGGTTATCGTGGCACGGCACGCTCTCAGAGGGATAGCACTACTGCCACGACTTTCTGAATGGCAATGGGCCCCTTGGATAACCCGCAAAGGCCCATGGAAGCAGACGCTGCTGGCACTGGCAGCGGTAACGGCAAAGGGCAGATTGCACAGTCTACAAGACAAAATACGGAAACCAATGCGGAGACTGGTGAGGATGCTTGGGACGAAAAACGGCTGGAGGAAGCCATGGCCAGGTTGAAAGACATGCATATTCAGGTCAGTGGCTACTCTGGCTCTTGAGATCCGGTGAACTTGTTGATTGACAGGAAGCCAGCTACGCAATTTGCGAACTACTATCCCACGACTCCTCGCCCCTCTGACCACGAAGCAACCCTCGCGTATGCAATCCCCCCTCTTCAGAGAAAGACTCCTTATATTATATGACTGTGAGAATGATCCTGATGGTGATCTATTATTATAGCCGAAGCCTTGTTCCGTGAATTCTCCAAGTCCGCCAGCACTGCCACCCAAGAAGTGCAGCAATTCCGCAAGTTGATGGCCCAAGAGGAGACTGGAAAGGTGTTGGAACATGCCAGAAAGAGCCGTTCTGAGAATCCGAATGATATTAAGCCATGGAAGGCGACGGACCACCCCGACTGGCTTACTAGGGATGAATAGAGGCGTTCGTCGACAATGGACTTATTGAGTCTACGAGGGCAACGTGGGAAGGAGTGTTGGGCGTTTACAGGACGCAGGCGTATCGGGGCATTCCATTTATTGGCGGCGTTACACATATAGACTACATATACTTGGTTAGAAGATTGGAATGGATTGGCGTTCTTGAGAGATACTTGGATCCAATCTTTAGGATAAGGCAAGCGCCACATGCCACTGTACCTCATAGTTGGCTGATTATATTTAAAATGCAATAGTATGAATTCCGGCTCTGGATTCCAATGAAATAGGAGAGCAGTTGAGGAGCCTTAGAAATTCTTGCAGCCCCTCAACCCTTTTCGGATCCGCCGTCGCTCAAAGTAAAGAAATACTGCATGGGTGGCTGGGAGCGCTTCTGCAGCAATTAGCACCACTTCGCACATGCACTCACTCGATGCATAGGAGTGAAAAGAACACCCGAACGAGTAATTGTGTAAGGTATCCCGCTCTCATTGGCGTGGATCATAAGAGTATTGTTATAGTAATACTACGATACTACGTACAGGACTCGCTATGCTGATGTATTTTATTAGATTTGCTGGGACGATGTCACTCCAACCCGGTTCCCGGATGCAGCAATGACTCATTCCACACAAGGCGCACAAAGAAAATAGGATGAAGATGGTATAAATCCTTATCATTTACCCAACTCCCCAATTATTTGGTAGTGGGCGATTAATTCACCTGGTTGCTTGACTATTTGGTTTGTTCTCCGCAAGTTGCAGCCGTTGTTCTCGAAAAACCCTAACATCTCGCTTAACCCCTCTGTTTCGCCGCCCTTGTCGCGCTTCAAATCTACAAAATAGTGGGACAGGACAATATTTTCCAACACACCCGCACCGCTTGACCGACACAACCCACGTCTGGCAACCAAACCCACCGAGATCGCAAAGTAGCCGCCAAGATGTCTTCTCGATTCTTCCACGGTGACAGCTCCAGCGATAGCAGCTCCTCCGACGAGGAGGAGCTGTACCCTGAGGAGGAGGAAGCAAAGGAAGCCTCTTCTTCCGAAGACGAGGATGAGGACGGGGACTCGGATGACGATGACGACTCCTCTTCCAGCGACGATGACGATGGGGAGAAGAAGAGTGGCGCCAGCAAGTTCTTGCGAGAAGCAGATTCGGAGAGTGAAGATAGCAGCGACGAGGACCGAGCCAAGGTCGTGAAGAGCGCCAAAGATAAACGCGTGGAAGAAATAGAGGGTACCGTGAAGGCAATCGAAAACGGCCAAAAGATCAATGACTGGGTTTCTATTTCCACAGGTATGCATGGTTGGATAACGATATTCGTGCATCAGCTACTAATCTTTATGACCAGAATTCGACAAGCTTAACCGTCAAGTAGTCAAGCTTGTTCAGTCGGGCAACACACCGAAAATTTACGTCAAGACTATCGCTGAATTGGAGGACTTCATGAATGAGGCCATTGCTAAGCAGAAGGTCTCGACGAAGAAGATGAATGCAACCAACGCGCGAGGCCTAAATGCTGTAAAACAACGCATCAAGAAGAACAATAAGGATTATCAGAAGGATATCGATGCCTACAGGGCCGACAAAGATGATTTCATGGAGTCTGATGAAGAGGAAGAAGTCGTGGTACCAAAGGCCAAAGCCTCCAAGGGCCCGGCAGTGCCAACTCTAGAACTCCGCGACGATGAAGGCTTCTCGACCGTTGGCAAGGGCGGCCGAACATTGCAATTTACGCCCGAGAGCATCCTGAAGCATCTTAGGACAATAATGGAGTCTCGAGGGAAGAAGAACACCGACAGGGCCGAGCAGATAAAGATTATGGAGAAGCTTTTTGAAGTCGCCACAACCCCTTATCAACAAGTGCGAGTTCTCTTAACCCTGATTTCGACAAGATTCGACCTGACCACCGGAGTTCAAACATTCATGTCTCAAGAGCAATGGAAGGCTGCGGAGCAGGAGATCGGAACCTTGCTCAAAGTCCTCGAGTCAAACAGGAACCTGGTCGTTGTCGAGAATGCCGAGGAGTGGGAGGATGATGAGAAGGCTCCGGCAATCGTGGATGGCCAGAAGTTCAAGATCCCTGGAAGTGTCGTATCTTATGTGGAGAGACTGGATGATGAACTCACTCGATCGCTTCAACACATTGATCCTCATACTGCTGAGTATATTGATCGGCTTTCCGACGAGGGCGCTCTTTACAACAATATTGTTCGGACCCAGCTTTATACGGAAAACCTTCGTCAAGACGAAAGTTTGGAGGTTCCTCAAGATAGTGTAAACCGTATCGTCATGAGAAGGTTGGAACATGTGTATTTCAAGGTGAGTTATATAATGCTCGGCGATCTCGTTCTGTAGCTAACGTATCTTTAGCCATCCGCAGTTGTGAAGATCCTTGAAGAGAATTGCTGGAAGGCAATCCCCGCTGGCCTTGATTCCGTCATCACTCCCCGAGATCAAGTTGCTGATGCCACTGCTCTCGTCAACGTTCTGTGCAATTATCTGTTTACTAACAGTGAGGGCATTATACGCGCAAGAGCCATGCTTTGCCAGATCTACTTCCTTGCCTTGCATGACAATTATTACAAGGCTCGGGATATGATGTTGATGTCCCATTTGCAAGAAACGATCAATGCATTCGACGTCCACAGCCAAATTTTATTCAACCGAACACTTGTGCAGGTTGGTCTCTGTGCTTTCCGCGCAGGTCTTGTTTACGAAGCTCAAACTACACTACAAGAAATCTGCGGAAGTGGACGACAAAAGGAGTTGCTTGCTCAAGGTGTTATGATTCAACGATACAACCAAGTTTCGCCTGAACAAGAGCGTCTCGAACGCCAACGACAACTTCCTTTCCATATGCACATCAACCTTGAACTTCTCGAATGTGTGTACCTCACCTGTAGTATGCTTCTTGAGATCCCACTTCTTGCCCAAACCGGCTCGTCGCCCGACATTAAGAAGCGGGTCATTAGCAAGACGTACAGACGTATGCTAGAGTATCACGAGCGCCAGATCTTTACCGGTCCGCCCGAGAACACCCGAGATCATGTCATGCAAGCATCGAAGGCACTGGCAGCTGGCGAGTGGAAGAAGGCAACCGAATTCATCCACTCCATCAAGATCTGGGAACTCATGGCCCAATCCGATTCGATCAAGGCCATGCTCTCAGAGCAGATCCAAGAGGAAGGCTTGCGAACATATCTCTTCACCTACGCTCCCTATTACGATACTCTCGCCGTTGCTACCCTGTCCTCCATGTTCGAGTTATCCGATCGAAAAGTTGCCGCCATTGTCAGCAAGATGATTAGCCACGAGGAGCTTGCGGCCGCGCTTGATCAGGTCAATGCTTCTATCATCTTCAGAAAGGGTGTTGAGTTAAGTAGACTACAGAGTCTCGCATTGACTTTAAGCGACAAGGCAAGTGGTCTTATCGAGAGCAACGAGCGAACGCTTGAGACAAGAACACAAGGCATGGCAAATGCATTTGAGCGACAAGGTGGAAGAGGTGGCCGGGGTGGAAATAGAGGAGGCCAACGCGGTGGCCGAGGCGGTGGTCGGGGTGGAGGATCCGGTGCTCCAAGACAAGCTGGAGGTACGCAATTCACTGGGGGTGCATTGGGTGCCGCGGTGCGAGCTTAGATTGTGACGTTATTGCATTGGGATGGTTTGTTACGGGGCTGCGTCTGGTCTTCAGGCGTTGCATAAAAGCTTTAAAAAGGCTTTAGTTTGTGATTTTACATGATAGTGAAAGGATAATGAAGCTTGTCACCAACCCTTAGGATTACCCGCCCTGAGTGAAACCGTGTCGTTCGTCGTACGCTCCATCTCATCCATGGCATTCTACTTCTCGTTGCAACTTCTCTCATATTTTCGAGTTATGCATATCATGTCGCCATCCTAAAGCTCAGCCGATTTCAGGAAATCTTGAAAGGAGATGCAGCGGTGCTACTTATATACGCCCGCAACTCAGGAGATGTATAGAACAATTACAAACCTTGCTACAGAATCTTTTCCCTCGGGAACTGAAAATTATTCTCCCCTGAAAAGCCACTTAATAATTTTGACGCTGCTAGGCACCTGGGGGGCTGAGTTCGAGCGAGGGGTTTCGAAGCGGATATGATCCTACAGCTCAGCACATCAGTAGAAAAATAAAAGAAGTGTCGTAGCAAAAATACGCGCCTTTGAAGATTAGCGCGCATGTGAGATTTTTTTCTACTTCCGGGTTGATTTGAACTTTCACTTTATTTGTACATCACGAAATACACAACATTTATCCAAGGCTATTTAGGAGTAATATCTTTGTATTCTGGTACATCTAAGCACTACCGAGCCCCGAGAACTCCTATTTACAATTCAACATTAAGCCGACAGTAAGAAACCGAGGGCTTAAAACGCCTTTACTAATGCAGGATATTAAATGGTCGTGTGTACTTTACAGAAAACCGCCCTATAACTTCGAGGTAATTTCAGGTCGAGTAACACTGACTTGAATAAGTCCATTCGGACTGGATTGAGGAGCATAAACCTCGGCGTCCTTGCCAGTATTCTTCAGGCCCCGGTGCCAGCTCAGATCTAGCGAAGATTCCATTAGTAAACCGGTTTTTTCAAAAGCTGGTAGAGGGTGGGGCTCAACCTACCAATTTCAAAGTAATGCTTGTTGGGCAACGAATAATCGACTACCTTGACCAGAGGGGCAGCTTCCAAGATCGACTTGCCCATCTTGAACATGACATTCTGCACAGATGGACTGGACTCTTCGGCGAAAGTCTTCATCGTGATATTTCTCGCATCTTCGAATGCCTTATCGAATTTCGGGGCATTCTCCTTGACGGCGTCCAAAGTCGGGAACGCCTCCCACGACCAAGTACAGTCGACATCTGTGCTCAAGATGCGATCCCAGGTTTCGGGCAGCGTGGTGTATTCATCTCTGACGAACCCGTGGAATTGGGAGCCGGTGCTCTTCAACACCAGCAATCCCGCAATCCCGCTGCGTATGTTGATGCCTTCGCCCCTGGTGACAACCGTCTCGACCTTGCGAGTCTCGTTCCCATCGCGGTAGAACGAGTGCGGATGTGGCTTTCCGTCGATCGTCATCCGTGCCCATCGATGTGTTACGATCTTGACGTTAGCAGTGGTGATGTGTGGGTAGGTTTGGATAAAATGAGTGCCGACGGTGCTGGCGAAGAGTTCGGGAGGGGTCACTGGGTGCTCTTTGGCCTTGATGTAGATGGTGTTCTTTATGGAATCGGTAGCTACGACCACGCTATTATCGCCTTGTGTGTATCTGCAAGGAGAGCGGATATGTTAGAGAGGGTCTCGAGTGAGGGGCAATATCAGGAAACATACGATGTCTCGATTTCACCCTCAAGGAGGACGCAGACAGTCATCTCCGTGACGGTCTGCACGCCGGTGGTAGGATCTCTCTCGACTTTGTGCACCCGGACATTCTCCTTGCCATAACGGGCGGAAGCTACGGATGCCATTGTATTGCGGGGGGGTGGATTCGCAATGGGATAGAATGGAGGCCGTGACACAGAATTATATAGCTGAGAGTGATGCCAGGAGGATCAAGGGGATGGTTGTGGTTATGGTTGTAGTCGTCGGGGGGG